AACATTTAAGATTCATTAGGTGTCTGTAGCAGATGTGTTGCGATCGTAATCATAATTTTAATAGCAGGATATACAGATTGACCAAATCAGTTATACTAGCCGTGCTAATCAAACCATTGAGGATACATTCAGCAAATTTGTTATGCTGCTGACAGCGCGTATAAAATGAGTTGAATTGTCGAAATGCTTTTAAAAATCAAACCAAAGCTTTCTCACTAGTTAAGTCAAACTTACTAACTTTTCTGCAGCATTACTGTTGTCCTATGGCTGAAAGAGAATCTGACTGGACTTGACGGACCCACTCTGAATTGCATAAAACTAAGACACACCAATAATGTTTACTTTGATTACATCCATAAGCTCTTTTGCAAGTGCAACCTTGTGTTAAATAGCTGGCATACGTGCGTATATGTGTATACACTTTGGAATGGATTAGATATATAAATAAACTGATGCACAGTATGAATAAAAGATCGTCGACACTTACTCATAAGAATTTATCAATAAAATATTTTATTACAGAAAAAAATGAGTTGGTTATGTTTACCCGAGGAATATATACATTGGAAATATTGTCTTGCGAGTCTTGAACTTGGTCCTTAGTCCCTTTCGACATTCGATAATCAATCAAATTGCGTTGAGACTAACCAAAATGCTAAATGCACATAATACGCAACATATCTTATTATTTACATACACCATTTTGCAACTCAACTATAAAAATTCGCCTGCACTCGGCCGTTTATTAGTGACAAAATATATGAAAATATCACAAAAGATTATATTATGTAAAGCAGCAAAGCTTTTTATCTTTGTATAGGTTTTTTATCTATATGTAAATGGACAGAAGAAGGATGTTTAAGGCCTTTTGCATTTAATGTAAATTTTAACTCTTTTACTTTTTTACGATCAGGAAGGCAGAGTAGGGTGAAGGAAGGGAGTAGCGTTTGTGAACCTTCGAATTGAGAAACGATGCCACTACTGGTATACTGTTCCAAAGGTGGACCGTACGGTTAAAAAAAGTCGTAGTAGTGTGTTTTACGACATACAGGTAACTCCAAGACGAATGAGTCAAAACGCTGAGAAACACTTGTTGTCCTATTGAAAGGTTTTAATTAATGGATACATCTCTTCTATAATCGTAGAACACTTGCCTTGAATGTACCTTTATACAAGTGTAAGACATTCCACATAACGGCGATGCTCAAGGGTATCGAGAGTTCTGCAAACAATTTTGTCGCCCATAAGCACCCGACCCTTTCGCTATATGCGATCAACTTTATGCCGAGCTAAAGCGACGCTAGCAGCGCAGAATCATATCAGAACTTTTAATTGCATGTTTTAGACTAGAGATGACATTAACATTGCATAACCAATGAGAAGGATTGATGTTATGAAATAGTTGGAATGGGATGAACAAACAGATTATAAAAATTATTTATATTTTTACTGAGAAACGTGAATACATTGAATGATGCATAGTTGAATCTATAGGGGCTTAGTTTTATTAAGTGATAACTTCTTAAGAGACGAACTGGGACATCGAAGTGGCTTTCATTCAGCAAAACTTTCAAGTCAATGACGCCCCCTGTCATTCTGTACTAAGAAGACAAATTCTAAGATAAACGGACGTTTCTACAGTGAGGGTAATGCTATAAGTAATAATTCATTTTCATGCGATGGTAATCTTACTTATGAGTTTCACGGCCTTTCTTCCTCAAAGCAAAAACAAGAACTATTTTTAACCGCTTCTATGGGACAGAAATCATGACCCGAAGGCGAATTCTAATATACGCGTAACTAAATAAATGTGTTTATTATTCAGTTTATAATACGTTTGTTACAACAAATCAACAGCAGTAATGCTGCTAAATAATTAATACAATTTTATATAACAAATTTGAGTAAAGCTTCATATGACAAACGTTATTCATTCAATTAAACTTTAAAATTTGTCTTTATGATTCGTTATAGTTATTGATTATGCACTCATAAGTTATCCCTTTATAGAGTTCAGTTCATTTTACAATAATTAATAATGCTTTTGACATTATAATCCGCTTGCTATAGCAAGTAATAATTCACAAATTCTCAAACACACAATGTGATCTATCTTTAATATTTATGATGCATGAGTATCTTTGATCTATGTTACTTTCTTGTTGCGATCAATCAATAAAAAATGTCGTAATGAACAACAATATCTTGGCAGCTGTACAGCAGTAGCCAGAAAGGAAAGTAACATTTTCCTCTTCCTTCTTTCTTTCTTGCTTCTTTTATTATCTTATCAAGGTTACCCTCTCAAATCTTAATAAGGTTACCCTCCCATCTTTACTGATATGTTTTTAAGCAACATTTTTATGCGATTTTTTAAGCGGTAAAAAAATACTCTCAGAGCTGTTTTTGCACAGCAAGTAGAGGACGCACAAAGCACATCGCACAAAAAAATCAGGCTGCTCCAAAAACCGGTTGCACTCTATAGTCTTTTCGTAATGTATCAATTCTTAAATTCTCGTAATAAAGCGTACTATGGATCTTGCTTTATTCATGAAGCAGGATTCCATCAAAAACGTTCGTAGATCACAAACCGTTTGCAGATTCTACAAAGTATGTGAAACAACAAAAAAAATTCCTTTTTATATTTTTTCTTTGAGCTGAAAGTTGTGCACGCGTTAAATTTAAATTGTTGCACAAAGACTTTCTGTTATGTGTTTCAAGGATAATTTCCTGTGTCCAGAAGACTTACGAAAATTGATAAAGAAAAAAGAGCAGGGAAGCACGAAAAGCATTTTCGAACGTCATGAAATCTAATTGACAAAAACATCGACGAAAAAGAAGCTCATGCTTTATTTTGACGAGGCTATGTAGGAGTTTTGAAAACCTTTTATAATAAATTGAACAACGCCAACTGAACGCACCATTGCACATGTCAATCATTAAAAAGTTAACGTTGAAATGTTGTAATTTTAAATATCGCATCTTTGTATATCATGCTACAAATTTATATTTTCTCTATATTGCGAGCGAATCTTGTATGTCAAATATCTTACCTATTTTAGCACCATATGTACTCTTTAGTTATCATAATTTTTTAAAGATATCTGTCCTATCTAGCGGTGGATAATTAATAGCATTACAGTTTCTTTTTGAGCTTAAAACATCAAGTGCAACACTGTGGCTGAATATAAGCTCCTCAATAATCTGCCTGTCAATCAGTTTATGTGGCAGCGTTTCTGTCTGCCTGACAGTTTTTAAGATAATTCATTGCTCCCATCTTCAAACTGACCCTCTTTCGTTTCGTTCATAAGGTATTTTCTCTCTTCATGGTGACTGATCGTATACCTGGATCCGCGTAAATCTGTCTTATCATGCGTTTTACTAACCGCACGTCGGTCTGTCTCCAAGTCTGTCTCATCGCACATCTTACTGGCCATACGCCTCTCTGGCTATAGATTTGCATGACCATCCTTCGGTCGCGACATACGTTCTAACTGAACATGCTTCTATCGTATGTCTGATTGACTCCACAGTGCCGGTTTATACATCCATATAGTAATACGTCATATATCTGAACAGCTGCAAGTGTTTGCCGCAATACGTTTACCCATTTACACTCCGTCTTACGTCAAACTGTTTGCACGCTTATATAATCGTATATCTTGGCACCCTTCCTTCTGATTCTATATCGTTTCTGATTGTAAATTTTTGTGCCATTAGTCTTCTCTCTGATCTCTGGGTTGTCTGTATGGCTGGCCACTCTTGATATTATTCTTATCTATCTTCCTGATCATCTTCCTTTGTTTCTCTCGTCTTTATAATTTTCTGCATGTCACACGTTTGTCTGTTTCTATCTCTCTCTCTCTCTCTCTCTCTCTCTCTCTCTCTCTCTCTCTCTCTCTCTCTCTCTCTCTCTCTCTCTCTCTCTCTCTCTCTCTGTCTCTCTCTCTCTCTCTCTCTCTGTCGGTTTCTACTTGCCTATTGTTGGAACCCATGATTGAAGGGAAAACGCGATTCGTCTCAAGAGGACAATGGCCTTTTACTTAGTTTTTTATTGTCTTTTCTTATATGCATTGAAAAAATTCAATATGTTCGCTTTTATTATCTTATTTTACGAACAAAACTTTTCTATGAACTTTTAATAATATTTTAGAACGCAAAAAAGTCTTCTTTGCATCAATATCCAATAAGTTTTCTCGCACAATTTCATAGAAATATTTTTCAATAACATCTCGTATGATTTCAAAGTATTGAGAACGTGTTTTACAGGACATTGTGTTTTCTCACTCTACGTACAAAGTAATTTTAAGCTTATAACTAAAGTTTGTTTGCTTATTTTCTTATACGGGTATAATGCTATATAATCGGAAACAAACTAATTTCTAATGCTTAAACTAAACATAGACAAACATTTGTGATACATGATGAGAAAAAGGAAAAATATTAAAAATGTAGGAAAAAAAAAAATAGAAATTGAAAGAGGAAAGTTTCTCTATTTCTCTGTTTTTTTTTTTGTTTTTTTTTTATTTTTTTTTTTTTATAATATTTCAGGATATTACCCAGATGCAGCTGACACATAAAAATTCAATTGAGCAAATATAGTCGAAACTTTTGAAATTGTCTAGCCACAAAGACCAAAGCCCTAGTATTGAAACCGAAATAAAAAAAACCTCAACCAATAAAAAAAAAAAACGAACGAAATAAAAAAAAAATAAAAAACTTGGTAATATTTGTGATCCAGCAGGAGTAAAAAGAGATACGCTATGCTATGCAGATGAATGATATTAAGCTCATGTGCATATGTTATAATCTGTTCGATACGAAATTGCGAAAATTGCAAAAACCTGGTTATAGACTCCTTAGCCAATAGTTATTAGGTTCAATATTTGTTAACAACAGTGATGTTTAACTTTCGTGTCGGTTTCAATTATCTTTTCTCTCTCTCTCTCTCTCTCTCTCTTTCACTCTCTCTCTCTTTTTCTCTCGTTTTTTTTTCTTTACAGGTGGGCAACTTGGCTAATGACGGTATTAAATTGGCAACCGGAGCTAAAGAGCGACGTTGCTCGATGATACCGCATGATGGTTTGGAAGAAGAAGCACGTGGTGGTACGTTGCGTGCACTTTGGACGCACGGCGGCCCAACAGCGGCTTTTGTACACATCCTGATTGCCATGTGTTTACTTTTGCCACGTTTACTGTTGGAAGCTCGCATAATTGAAAATGGTCTTTTGCCACAAGGTAATTAAAATCACACTCACTTAAAAACAAACAAGCAAATAGCAAAAAACTTAAACATATACACTCATAGACTCATCCGACTATAGTATATATATATATATATTGATGTTTATGCATGTATATGGCCGGAGTCTGTTCTCGTGACATGTTAAATATTTGTCAATTGTCTGCCTTAACAATGAAAAGACTGTTAAAAATTCTTTTTTATTTTTTCTCTCTTTTCTTTTTTTTATTGGTAACAAGTGAAATATTTAAATTTTATTATTTTGAAAACCGAAAAAAAAACTTACATAAGCACACAAGAAAAAGTTATATTTGATTTAAGACTAAATCTGTTGATATTGATTGAAAAAAAAACTCCATTCACATAGTCAGTATCCGCATTGCTTATATATATATATATATATATATATATTTGAAATCTGATGATTCATAACTATATAAAGCACTATGACGATAAGGTCTTCTGCTCATTTAGAAATTATCTCCAACAAGTTCAGAACGCGTCGATGTGGCCCTTACAAAGTTACTACATTGTTACCTATGTCAACCTATAGATTACAAATTTTCCACAAAAGGATTGAATCGTATTATTATTATTAGGATAACTTCAGCGGTATTTTGAAAAAGTTCCCTTAATAAAAAAAATTTGGATCATTTTGGTGTATTTTTAGCACCCGCTGCCATGCAATGTAAAATGTAAGCCTATAATTTGATGAAAAGTATTAAGGTTTTGTGATAAATTAGTGATGATTTTGCTGAAAAAATAAACAATTTTTCAAGAAGTCATTTTTATGGGCTTAAAATGCATCATTTTTATTAAATTCTTAGAGTGTGCCGATTATTCAACGAGCAACGTTTTCTAATTAGAAAAATTAGAAAACTACTTCGCAAAATTTTCGAAAAAATTACTGAGGTTTCATTGAATTTCTGTAGTAATCGAATGCTAATGATATTGGAAAATTAATGAATACAATTTTTCGTCATTATAGTTACAAAAGTGGAAAATCGGGTAAACTCACAAAATGGCTCGAAATAATTATAGAAGTTGAAAGAAAAAATGCTTAAGGTATCTTCTTACCGCTGCTCTCATCCGCTAGACTGCTAGACCGCTATCGACTAGATATTTACTATTGATTGAAAAGAAATAGAAGAAATGGAAATTATCTTACAAACGGATAAAACTGGCTTTCAACAGCATCCATTCAGCATACAATGTCAACACTTTTAAAGCTGTTTTGATATAAGATTCCAATTTTTCCCCATAAAATACATAATTATCTGATGCAGAATAAAAAGTCGTTTATCAGCAAGTGCGCACTTAAGCTGTGGCAACCCTGTAAGACAATAAGTAAACAGGTATAGAGAGGTAAAACGATAGAAAAAATTTTAGCTTCAGCTTAACGAAGCGGGAGAAACCTCGCTTGCAACATCATACACGGCAGGGACAAAGGCCGAAAGGGCCAATCTTCTTTTAAGCATTGTAAAGAAAGGAATTTTTTCTTCGATGCAAAAATTTACCTTTTAATAAAACAATGCCGGGTAAAAATCGTAATATCTCTTGACGTTACAATCCAATTTCCTTTAATTAATTAACTTATGGCACTAACTAAAATAGATAGTTCGAATAATAAAGAAAGAACCTAGCGGCTAAAAATTAAAATTTAAATGACTTTATTAAACTTAAATGACCTATCGTCAGTTTCCAACGGACATACGATCTTCTTTCAAAATATCCCTAACTCGGCATCGAAAGCATGCAAACCCAGCGAATGATGATTGAGTCGGATTCGATTCAGAAGAAGAGGATGTGCAATCTTTTTCTCTATTATACCTCTGTTCGCAATCGAATAGGCGTCGCCAATCGGTTATTTGATCACATCCGAAATATGTCAACTCAGTCATTTCGAATGTGATATTCCCATTCCATTCCTTTCTTACTTGTACCTTTCATACTCAGAAGAGAGTAACAAACTACTTACCCTAAAAGAAAATACATAGCAATAAATTGTAACTACATGTATGACTAAAAGAAGTCCTACGACTTCGTCCATTACAGGGTATTCACGTAAGTACCCATTCTTTAGACATCCCCATAAAAATCGAAGTCCTGCTCCCTGTGAAGAATAACGTAACGTACTCTAGATCAATGCTGCCGACTTGCCTAATTTTTGGCATATGGAGTCGAGCACTGTCCTGTTAAAAGACCACAATATCACGACTTTCAATATACTGCGTCCATTTTGCGGCACGACGGCATTATACCAGTTGGAGTAACACAGGTGTAGAGATCAGACTTTTCAAGAAGACCTCTGCTAACTTTAACTCGTGCCCATAGAACATAACGCCAACTGTAGAGAAGGCCAACCAGGATTAATTTCTACATCTTTAACTTTGCGCCGGTTTAATTTCATCTGTTGTCTGAATGTAAAAACTTGGAACAAATATTTTTAGTATACTGTAGACAAGGTTTGAAAATGAGCGACGAACAGACCCATCGATATTTGAAATACTGGCATTGATTCAAGCAAAGTATTATTAAGCAAATTTTTGTGTATTTTTTAATGATGGCCGACAGACATATATATGAAGATTGACAAATGTTCTTACATAGCGGCATCATTTATATTGCTAGTGGTTACTCGTAACTTATAAACTGATATAAACTATTGATCCCTTCTTAATGTAAGTGGACCCATGATTGGCTGCCATCTCAATTTAACGCGAGTAGTATTTTGTAGGAAAAAGTAACACGTCTCGAACAAGCTTGGAGAAGATGCCAGTTAGATCAAAAAAACCGATAGAAACTACCATTCGCGCTAGTCAACGCTGAGAAGCGCGTACAAGTTAGGTAAACAGGAACTATACTACAGTGCATCAATGACTCTGTGTTCTCTTACAAAGGCAGAGACAAAGGGTCACCGAGAGACTTCGGAACCCAAATTGTAGTACAGACTGAGCCGACCGTCTTTTGTACTTAATGTCTATTAGGCACTACCATGTATTTTGATCACTTTTTCACTTGAGAAAAACTGCTAGAAGGCTTATTAATCATAACATTTTTCCTCATTTTCTCCAACTTTTTTCCACCTTTTTGGCAACATGGTGATACCGTGTCGAAAGAACGATATTGGTTTGGCAGCAATCCGATCTATTGATTTTTCACATACTTTTACACTTCCATTTTACACTTTTCACACTTCTTTAACTTTTCGAAACCCCTTGCTGCTTTCGAAAGCCTTGCTGTATCGATGTGAGCAAATGGTAATCAGAAGACGCTACGTCTGGATGTAGCAGAAATTCGTATTCTAGCTGCAACAGTGTATCCTTGACATCTCTTGAAAAGTGTGACCGATCGTTATCGTAGAAGTGGATGACCTTGCGTCTGTTAATCGCTGTTGCTGGTCTTTTTTCGCAAGAACCTATCGTTCGATGTGTTCAGTTGACCTTGGTAACGGTTTTATTCAGTTTAAGCACCATGCCGATCCCACCACATGCACAGTAAAACTTTATGGCCGTCAATATGCCGTTTAAGTGTCGATAGTGATATTTTCCCAGGACCAAACAATAACGCTTTTCGATTGGAATTGTCGTAGTAGATCCATTTCTGATCGCCAATCGCAATACGCCATCGATATCTTTTTTTTTCGGCTCGAAACGGTTCGAAATTTTCTCCTTTTTCATCGTACGTAAATGACTATAAACAATTGATTCATCAGCTGCTGAGCTGTTGGAAAGTTCTTTGAGGGAGGTTTTCGTCCAATAAGTCTTGCAATTCATTGTCTTCGATCTTTTTCAGATCTCCAGGGCGCTCCTTTAAATCGCTGAAACCAAAACCGACAATTGCATCATAAGCTTCTATAAGTGCTTGACGGACTTCGGCGGCAGCAGGCTTCTTCAAATCAAACAAAAAAAAGTAGTGAACGTCGAAAACGCCATCTTGACCTTTACATGGTTAGCGTCTACATGCATTGGCTAACTCAATCATTCTAACCTGTTATTTTATGTAGGGAAATATCAAAGTCATCGAATTTAACGGTTGCGTGTGTTTATATTTGCCATTACTTTACCATCGTTATCAATAAATGTCGCTGATCAAAATACATGCAAACACCTATTATTTATATTATTTGATTTAGACGACGACTATCAAAAATTCGCTCTATCGTATCTTTTTTTGTTAAATATATAAACTTAACGTAAACTTTAAAATTTAACTTATATGACTTATTATTGTGTTCATATTGTGGCGCTTATTAAAAAAAAAAAAAAGATGCAACCAATTGAGTTTAGCTAACAAATATTCGGGATCTTGTTGGCGAATATCCAAATTTTGCCCTAAAGGGAATAAAACTTTTTCAATTATTTTTTGATTTTTTTTTTTTGTTGTTGTTATTTTTACAACAAATAAAGTTTTTAGTATTTTATGTCTTCCATTTTATTTTTATACATTTTCAACCTCACTTCAAACAAGCAAGCAAATAGGAAGCAACACGTTCAACGTTAACATGTCAAATGTGTTGCTTTTAATTGAATCGAATTTGATGATATTTGCATAAAGGACTAACATTTAACCATTTATGCAATCAATTCGTTCAGTCAACGTGGACGAAGCTTAATTGCTTAATAATATTTTAAGCAATATCCCGAAATGAGTTTTGCAAAAGTTCTCGCAAATTTATAGTTGATAGAAAGAAGAAAAAAAAGCAAAAAGAAAAGCATAGCAAAAATTTATTAAAGCGAAAATCAGTGAAAGACCGCATTATTGCGGATCTGCTTTGCCAAAAACGATTCGAATAAAGTATTTGCGTTTGCAGCAAACGCGAAGAGAGTAAGTAATTCACTGAAAATTTCCACACGTGGCTTGAAAAGTGCTTTTCTACTGTTTCACATAAAGCCCTTGGGAAAGCGTTTGCTACACGCGCTTAAATTATATCATAAAACTTTGCTGTTTAATTATTTATTTGAAGGATTCACTATTGATTTTATTATATGAAGTA